GCTTTACGAGCTTTTGGATGCTGCCAGGACCGGGGACTCCGTCCTGGACGTGGATGTGGCCATTGGTTGGGTCCAAAGAGCTATTTGCTTACTGGGGAACGCCAATACGGCCATGTCTACAGAAAGACGCAAGGCGATCCTCCTGAAGATCGACCCTAAATTGGCCGCTATGACTGTGGCGGAGCCTGATCCAACTGAGGAGGGTCTCCTGTTTGGCACGTCCTTCGTTAAGGATATGGGTGCTTATGTCAAGACCTTTACGGCTATTGACAAGGCACAGGCGAACATGAAGCGCGTGTTCGCGCCTAAGGTTTTCGGAGGGGCCGGGCGTAGCAGGAACCGTCCACCCGGCCGTGGTTTCCGAGGCGCGTTCCGCGCAACCAGAGGTTCCTTCTTTCCCTCGAGAGGATTTCAGGAACAGAGGGCCCCTCCCTTCTTCCCGGCAAGAGGTCGGGCCTGGGGATCCAGATACCCCCGCGGTGGTACCCCCGGCAGACGTCCTTACGGTGAGTACCCTTTCTTTCCCTCACGCTCAAGTTCGGGTGGCGGGGAGACTGGCCTTATTTTGTCAAGAATGGGCAAGGATCACCTCAGATGCTTGGGTTTTACAATGTGTAAGGGGTTTTCGTCTGGAGTTTGTTTCCATGCCTGTCCAGTTTTATCCCCCCAGAGAACTGTCCCTCCCTCCGGAGCAGGACGAGATGATTTCCACGGAAGTGGTGGAGATGCTGTCCAAGGGCGCTATAGAGGAGTTGCCGTTCCCCGCCCCAGGCTTTATGAGCAATTTATTCCTAGTGCCCAAGAAAGGAGGCGGAGTTCGCCCTGTCATAAATCTTCGCCCACTCAACGCTTTTCTACGCTACCAACACTTCCAGATGGAAGGTATACACTGCCTCAGAGACCTCCTACGTCAATCGGACTGGTTGGCCAAGCTGGACCTGAAGGACGCTTACTTTACGGTCCCCATCGCTTTGGAGTTCCGGGATTATCTCCACTTCACCTGGCATGGGCGTCGCTGGCGCTTCACCTGCCTGCCTTTCGGTCTCTCCTCGGCCCCTTGGTGCTTCACCAAGCTCATGAAGCCCGTGGTGACATTCCTCCGAACCCGGGGGGTTCGCCTCATTGTCTACCTGGACGATATCTTGATTTTATCCCAGTCACGAGAGGATCTCCTCACACACCTGGGATGGACGACCGACCTTCTGCAGAAGTTGGGATTTCTGATCAATTGGAGCAAGTCGGTCCTGGTCCCTGCCCAGTCCATAGAGTTTCTGGGTTTTCAAGTGGATTCCATCCAACAGTTCCTGTTCCTCCCGGATGCCAAGGTGAAAGCCATCCAGAAGGAAATTCGGAGAGCCCTCCGTGTTCCAGATTTGTCGGTCAGACAACTGGCGAGAATTATCGGCCTTCTGGCAGGTGCCTTCGCGATCCGCAGTCTTGCTCCGGGGAGGGCGAATTGTTGCGTTCTCCTCAAGATGGACAACGTATCAGCGGTTCGTTACATAAATCACCTAGGGGGCACGAAATCCAAAATGTTGGCGACTCTGGCAAAGGAATTTTGGCAGTTCTGCCTCTACAACAACGTTTCGGTGACGGCGGAACACATCCCAGGTCTGGACAATTCGGGGGCGGATTGAAATTCCAGACACTTACGGGACTCCGGGGACTGGCATCTACTTGCTTCAGTGTTCCGGTGCCTGAACAGGTTGTGGGGCCGGTTCCAGTTGGACCTATTCGCGTCACGCCTGAACACTCAGCTACCGAGGTTCTACAGTTGGAGGCCGGACCCGGCTGCAATAGCGACAGATGCCTTCCTCCAGGAATGGCCACCGGGTCTGATGTACGCCTTTCCCCCATTCAACATGATCGCACGCACGATCTCGAAACTGGTCCGCCACGATTGTCGGATGGCTTTGATCACCCCTCTATGGAGGTCTCGCCCATGGTTCACTCGGCTGATGGAACTGTCCATAGACTACCCTCGTTTGCTTCCGGTATTCCAAGACCTCCTTCTGGATCTGGATGGGAACTCTCACGACCTGGTGTTGCAGCATCATCTACCCCTCATAGCGTGGTTCCTTTCAGGGGACCTTGGGTTGTCCCAGACGTTTCGCAGTCAACTCTCCGACTCCTCGATAACGCCTGGGCCCCGGGTACACGGACAGCTTACCGACATTCATGGAGATTATGGTCTGGTTGGTGCATGGAACGGGCAATGGATCCCGTATCTGCCCCTCTGCCTTTGATTCTGGAGTTCCTCACGTTCCTATTTGATTCGGGCAAGGCATACCACACGATCAACCTTTTCCGCTCAGCTATCTCAGCCGGTCACGAAGGTCTAGACGGTTCTCCGGTCGGCAAGCATCCTTTTGTCTGTCGACTTCTCAAGGGTATTCGCCTTGCTCGTCCTCCTCGACCTCGTTTTGCCACCTTTTGGGACGTCAACGTGATGCTACAGTTCCTATCGTCATGGTACCCCAATTTGGAGCTGACTCTCAAGCAATTGTCTGCCAAATTGGTTATGTTACTGTGCCTGATTTCTTGCAGAAGAGTCTCTGACGTTCGGGCCCTGGACTGGGACGCCGTTGCACTCACCCCAGAAGGCGTCACCTTTGACATTTCCAGGAGGACCAAGTCTGCGTCTAAGTCACTTACATACCCTAGGTTTTCAGACTGTCCAGCGCTCTGCCCGGTGGATTGCATCAAGGACTATCTGGATGTTACACGTCCCCTTCGCATGACAGACCTGCACGATCTGTTCATATCCTTTAAATCACCTCACCGGCCGGTTTCGACTCCTACTCTAGCACGTTGGGTGCGCTGGCTGCTATCCTCCGCGGGTATAGACACCTCAGTATTTACGCCTCATTCTGTAAGGGGCGCGATGGCCTCGAAAGCCTCTTCAGTCGGATGTCGCCTAGAGGACATTATGCGAGCAGCGGATTGGTCTCGGGAATCGACCTTCCGAGCCTTCTACTTCAGACCAATTGAGCACATCGCATCTCGTGTGGTGGCACAGCTTTGAACTTGCATAATATGAGCCTCCGTGTCTTTAATAAAATTCCCAGATTTTACTAGTAACATGACGTAAAGTCATGATTTTATTAAAGACACGGAGGCGAGTATTATTCCCTCCCACCCTCCCGGAGTGGAGTTGGGATACGAGATGCTTGGTGGCTCTACAGGTATGTTTTTCAGTTTGGTCTGTACTCTATCAGTTTGATTTGCATCTTTTGTACGGGTTGTTGTACCTTTATGTTGTGTACTAATTCTGTTGTTTTTATATTTCAGAACTCTGTTTTACCTGTGTCTCCCCAAGACTATGTTTGGTAAGTTTGCAGTTCTGAATTAAGAAATTACCATATTTCTCTATTTTTTTTTTTTTTAGCTTGAATTTGTCGCATCGTTTCCCGTTACCCTGTTTCGACCAAGTGGGACATCGTTCATCTTACCTGGTCTTCGGTTCGCAAGAAAGAGGGGGATTGTGGGAGACACAAGACTTATATAGCTACTTCCTATACCCTGTGATTGGCTACCTGTTGTGCCTATACAGTTTTTTCTTCAGTTTTGATAATATTTATATTTCTCTTTCTTTGCTGCTGAGGAAATAAAGAAAGAGTTATGCATAATACTCGCCTCCGTGTCTTTAATAAAATCATGACTTTACGTCATGTTACTAGTAAAATCTGGGAATTAGTAGTACTTGTATATTTACCCCTTTTCACTGTTCACTTGATGTCATTATTATCCCTGCTTATGGGATATATGAAGAGAGTGCATCTATCAGCACCGTCTGGTCATCCAAGGCTCCAAACAGGAATAGAAAAGGCAACAATAGTGCTCTCAATTAAGATAAACAATATGGGTAAAAATAAATAAAATACTCACAAGCATAGAGCAGAAGCACTGCTCTATTGGTAGAGCATTGGTGGTATGATCCCCATCTCTGCACTGCTCTGTTGGTAAAGCGTTGGTAGTATGATCCCCACCTTGGATTTCTTTGAGTACAGGAATGATAAAATGCCAGGAAAAGTAAAAATAATAAAAGTGAATAAAATAATAAAAATGCGTAAAAATAATAAAAGTGCATAAAAATAAAAAGATTCGGCACAGCAAAGTAACCAAAAGACTTTTATTGATCTAAAATACACAACTAAAAAATAACCATAACGCGTTTCACTGATATAGGCTTTCTCAAATGGTATAAAAAACATACAGCCTGGCTTGTAGGAATTTATAGAGGGGGAAATTAGTTTAAAACTGGCACCAAAATTACATCATAGGCTGTCCTCCAATCAGCAAACATCATTACTATATACATTATAAATAAAGCAAACAGCTTCTGCAGGAACAAGAACAGAGGGGTTGAGGGCCCTGCTCAATTAGCTTACATGCTGGAGGGAGTGGGGTAAAGTGGCACAAAAGGTAAGGATAGTATTATACTAATGACAGTTGCAAGAGAGTAATCGGTCGGGAGCTATTAACAGTTTAATTGATACGCTTTTATGAAGAAGTGAGTTTTTAATGATTTTTTGCAGGAGTGGAGACTGGGTGAGCATCTAACGGAGGAGGAAAGCGAGTTCCACAGGAACGGTGCAGCCCTCAAGAAGTCTTGAAGGCGAGCATCCGAGTTGGGAGTACGGACAGAAGATAGACGTAAGTCTTCAGAAGATCGTAAGGGCCTAGACGGGACATATTGTGTATTAGGGAGGATAGATAGGTGGGAGCATTATGTAAAGATTTGAAAGCAAGAACCAGAATTTTAAATTGAGCCCTATATCTTACAGGAAGCCAATGTAGGGACTGACAGAAGGGTGAGGCGAGGGCAGTGCGAGCGGACAGGAAGATGAGCCTCGCCACTGTATTCATTATGGACTGTAATGGCGCAAGTTGGGAGCATGTAAGATCACTGAGAAGTGGATTACAGTAGTCAAGGTGAGAAAGGACAGTGGAATGGACCAGCACCTTAGTCGCATCTGGCATTAAGTAGGGTAGGATCCGCGCAATGGATTTGAGATGGAAGCGGCAGGATTTGGCAATAGACTGAACATGAGGTGTGAAGGAGAGGTCGGAGTCAAAGAGAGCACCTAGGCAGCGAGCCTGCATGGTGGAGCTGATGGTAGCACCGTTGACTTGGGGGGAGACAGACACAAGAGTAGCAACACCTGAGGGAGGAAAGACCAGAATTTCAGTTTTGGTCAAGTCGAGTTTAAGGAAGTGGGCAGTTAGAAATAGCAGAGAAGCAGTCAGAGACACTAGTCAAGAGGGACGGGGAGAGTTCAGGAGAGGACTGATAGATTTGCGTGCCATCCGCATAGAAATGATATTGGAAGCCAAAGAAGCTAATGAGTTTACCAAGGGAGGCAGTATAGATGGAGAACAGTAGGGGACCAAGGACTGAACCTTTGTTGGACACCACAGAACTGAAAGTGTGAAAGAAATAAGGACCATCTGGCTTGACGAGAGGACAACCTTTTAGCATCAGCTATATAGGAGAGATTCTTATGATCAGTTATAACCAGGATTTTGTGTCTAGCTCCTTCTAATAAGTACCTCCACTCTTTAAAAGCCATCACAATAGCTAATAGTTCCCTGTTCCCGACGTCGTAATTCTTTTCTGAATCAGACAGTTTTTTAGAAAAGTAACAACAGGGATGGAGGGGTTTGTTATAGGATAGTCTTTGTGATAATACAGCTCCTATATCTGATTCTGAAGCGTCTACTTCCATTATAAAGGGAAGGGAAGGATCAGGATGGTGTAGCTCAGGGGCAGTGGCAAATGCCTTTTTGAGAGTTTCGAAGGCTTTAATGGCTTCAGGAGTCCAAACCCTGGGGTGCAACCCCTTTTTAGTTAGTTTCGTGATAGGAGAAATGACTGATGAAAAGTTTTTAATAAACCTGCGATAATAATTGGCAAAGCCTATAAATCGCTGTATTGCCTTAAGGCCTTGAGGAAGAGGCCAAGACAAAATGGCTTCTAATTTAGAAGGATCCATGCTGAACCCCTGTTCAGAAATGATGTACCCTAGGAATTGTACTGATTTCTGGTCAAATAAACATTTCTCCAATTTACAATAAAGACCGTTCTGTAGCAATCTCTTAAGTACCTTCCTCACATGGGCATGATGTGAATCCAAATCAGGAGAATATACAAGTATATCATTGAGATAAACCACGGCACAGACATGTAGTAAATCTCTAAGGACATCATTTATGAAAGACAGCAGGAGCATTACACAGTCCAAAAGGCATGACTAGATACTCGTAATGCCCACTGCGTGTATTGAACGCTGTCTTCCATTCATCATTTTCTTTTATACGAACCAAGTTGTAAGCCCCCCTGAGGTCTAGTTTAGTAAAATATCTAGAACCTTTAACACGGTCAAACAACTCAGTAATGAGAGGGATAGGATAAGCGTTTTTAACTGTTATATTATTCAGGCCCCTATAGTCTATACATGGCCTCAAATGCCCTCTTTCTTGGCAACAAAAAAGAAACCAGCACCAGCCGGAGAGGAGGACCTTCTGATAAAACCTTTACGTAAGGATTCCTGTATGTACTCCTCCATGACCTGGTTTTCTTTCTCAGAAAGCGGGTAGACCTTACCCCTAGGAGGCATCATTCCAGGTAACAGGTTTATGGCACAATCATAATCCCGGTGTGGGGGTAGTTTATCAGCTTCCCTCTTTTCAAAGACCAATGCGAGGTCTGCATACACAGGAGGGACAGAAACAGAAAGTGGTTTAGCTGTAGGCTTATTAAGTAAACAAACGGGACGTAAACGGGCCATACAGTCTTGTTGACAAGATACCCCCCGGGAGAGTATATCTAGACAACCCCAATCAAGTACCGGGTTATGCTTAACTAACCAGGGGAAGCCCAGAACGATGGAAGCTGTAGGGGAGTCAATTATTTGGAAGGTTATCCTTTCTTTGTGTAAGGCACCCACGACCATAACCATTTCTTGGGTTTCATGGGTCACCAGAGGTTTATCAAGTGGTCTACCATCTATGGCCTCAACGGCCAAGGGTGTGGCCTTTTGGATCAGATTCAAGGCTGCGGTTTTAGCAAAGTTCTCATCCATAAAGTTGTCTGCAGCACCTGAATCGATCAAGGCTTTAGTTGTTATCGTGGTTTGATTGACCAAAAGAGTAACCGTAATAAATGGTCTGGAGATGGACACGTGAGGGGAAAAAAACATAAAACCCGAGGCCGACCCCTCTCTAGGCCTTAGGTGCTGGAGTTTCCCTGCAAACTAGGACAGTTTCTTAGGAGATGCCCCCTCTTACCACAATAAAGGCACAAACCCTCCCTTCTGCGGTACGTTCTTTCAGGTTCAGATAAGCCTACAGCACCTAATTGCATGGGTTCGGGAGGTGGTTGATTAGGGGGAGGTAATGCTAGTAATGCAGTACTGGGTAAAGCAGGTAACCCCTGTGTATTCATCGTTCTTTGACTACGCCTCTCTCTAATACGGTTGTCAATAAGAATGATATAATCTATTACATCATCCAGAAGAACAGGCAATTCCCTGGATGCTATTTCGTCTAATATGTAAGCGGCCAAACCCTCCTGAAAAGCTGTTACGAGAGTGTCATTATTCCAAACCACTTCAGCTGCCAGAGTGTGGAATTCAATGGTATAATCCGCTACAGATCTATTACCCTGTCGGACCCTAAGCAGAGCTTTGCCAGCAGAAGCAACCCGGCCGGGTTGATCAAATGTACGTTTAAAAGCTGTTAAAAAGTCTGCAAAGGACATTGGGGACGTATTCTCCCACATGGGATTAGCCCATGCTAGAGCTTTCCCGGACAAATGGTTGATCAAAAAAGCAATTTTGGTTCTGTCAGTGGGGTAGGAACGAGGATTCATCACCAAATGAATATCAATTTGGTTGAGGAAACCACGGCACAATGCTGGATCACCGCTATAGTGCTGAGGTGGCGTCATGTGAACCACGTGAGCAGGAGCGGGTACTGGATCAGGAATGGGTTTTGGCACAGCAGCAACAGCTTCTTGAACGGCAGGTTGCAAGTGGGCAGTACGAGCCAGTATGGTTTGTAAAGCCTGAGCAAACTGATCCATACGGTGGTCTAAACCATCCATTCTAGCCTCCTGATTTACTAACAGCTGTGGAATGTCAGCAGGTTCCATGGTGGCCCTGTTGTAATGTCACGATTCCGGAACCTAACACGCTAACAGGTCACAGAGAGGAAGGGTGCTATACCGGTCCTTAGAGTGGCCGGGCTAAGCACACTAAGAATGGTCAGGAGACAAGCCAAGTAAAGGGAGCCAGAAAACGGAAGAACGAGAAACAAGCCGAGGTCAAAGGAGTGGAGAAGACAGGATAATCGGAATAACGAGCCAAATAATCGGAAACCAGAGAGCAACACGAGAGAACAGCACTATAGGTATCACAAGACCACAACAGGGCACTGAGGGACAGGAAAGGTAAGTATAAATACCCTTGGTTTAGTTCTGATTGGATAACTTCCAATCAGAATTAACAATCACACGTGGGGGATATCTATACCTCCCACTGTGATTGTGGTACTGTTTCTTTAATGCCGGGTCACTCACGTGACCCTGGCGTTTGCATAATTCAGTATAACGCTGCACGCTGGGGGGCGTGGAGGACGCAAGCGGTGAGCGGCAGAGAGGAGACGCCGCTCGCCGACAGGTAAGAGGAGGGGAGACCGCGGGCGGCGATGGAATGAGGGTGAGTGCTGCAAGTGGTGTGCAGCCTCCCCTCCTAGCCGCCCGCGGATCCCTGACAAAAGGAAGTGGGAGGACAGGAAGAAAAGTGCTCAATAAATAGCCTAGGATGACCGGGGGGTGGGGGTGTAGATGATAGCAATTCTTAAAGGAGAGGGTTTAAATAGGCGGACAGTGTGAACTTCAAAAGAAGAAAAGGATAGGGCAGGGGGAGTTATGATTGGTTAAAAAGGTACATTGAGGGGATAGAAGGATGCCTACACCACCTCCTTTACAGTTGAGTCTGGGAGTGTGAGAGAATTGTAGCCCACCAAAACATAAAGAGGCAGGAGTAGCGCTATCAGAGGAGGACAGCCAGGTCTCTGTAAGTGCCAGCAGTGTGAATGAGTTTGAGATGAAAAAGTCGTGTATGGCTGTTGATTTTAAATTACTGCAGATGGAGCGGGCATTCCAAAGTGCACACTGAATGTTGGTAAGTGAGGGTAAAGGGCAGGGTATTGTTATGAGGTTTGTGGGGTTTCTGGTTTTCTAGTGTGTGTAGAGAATGAAGGACCCTGGATTGGGAGAGATATCACCAGCTGCTAGAAGCAGGAGGAGAGAAAGTGACAGGACGTGTGAATGGGTTTTGTATGCATGGGGTCTAAGATGAGATCGATTGTGGGTAGGAGTGAAAAAATAAGTGCAAGGCATGAGATGACAGAAGGCAGGAGTGTAGCAGAGAGGGTGTTATGCTAAATGACTGGAACGCAACTGCAGAAAAACTTTTAAATACTTCAATTTATTTTTTGTATTTAATTGAATTGCAAAAGTGGATACTGTAGCTTTAAAACTTTTAGCAGGTTGTTAGTTGCAGAGAGAAACAAGCCGCAGAGGTTTTACATAAAGCCAAGCAGTCCTAAATAAGAATAGTGCAGAGTTAGTTTGCAGAATTAGAGTTGAATTAGATGTAGCAGAAAGAAGTAGCTTCCTGAGTGCAACAATGAGGCAGGTTATAATTGTAGGCAAACTGAAAGGCAATTTGAGGTGAAGAAAATAAGTACTTAGCTTCTGTGGTAGCAGGTTCAGAAGTATTGGTGAATCCAAAATAAGCAGTCCTTTAGAGGTAGAAGCAGAGGTCCATTAAACAATCCGAGGTCGAGGAGAGGAGAAGGTAGGTAAGTCGTTTTCAGTCCAGGTACGGTACACGGTTAAAGCTTAGATATAACTTGGTAGCCGGTAAGAGGTTCACAGGAACTCGTTCAATAATTCAGCAATTTGAATCTGGCGCGGTCTTCCTATGTAGCGTGAGGAGACCGCGTCAGAGAGGGGGGCAGGGCAGAGCTCCGTCAACCCGGAAGTGGCTTGAATCGGCGAAACCGGCGGGTATAAACTGACAGAGGGGCATATGTAAATGTGGATGGAAGGATAAGTGAAGTGGGTGTAAGGAGAGATTTTTATACTGAGGGAGAAGGAGGAAATAAAGAGGAGGAGAAGACAGATCTGGTCAGATCAGATAAACTGGGAAAAAGTAAATAGGAAATAATTGGAATATCAAGAGCAGGTGAAGGT